CCCCCCCCCCCCCCCCCAACACCAGCCACTCACACCCCCCCACGCACGCTCCGTGATCCGTGTGGCATCTCTTACGCACCCCTGCACACCCTCCCCAACCCGCGTACTGCTGCACACCCTCTCCAACCCTCCTATGCACCCCCATGCACCCCCTTGGTCCCTCCCCCACCTGGCAGCAGCCCCTTACCTGCCTGCCGGCCTGGCACTTGCAACTTTCTGCCAGCTTCCCCACTGACTTTAGTTATGGGAAGCTGGCAGGAAATTTTCTCACCTAATGACCATGGGATTCAGTTAATGATGGATCCAGGACTGCTGGAATTGCTGTCACTAAGCAATCCAGTCGTGCTTTATGACCACATCATTAGTGATGGAAATTCCAGTCTCAATTGTTGTCGTAAGTTGAGGACTATCTGTAGTGATACATCTTTGATAGAATATCCTTTAACTTGTAAGTGAATGTGTAATTAAAAGTTGCAATCGTACCCTACTTCCAGGGAGATCATCCTATCAAGTTCAGTGGGATTTACTACAGCGCAGAGTTGTAGATAACTCTGCTGTAAAACATCAAGGCTGTAAAAACTTACTTTCCGTTAAGTCCCACTGAGCATTCTTAGGGAAATGGCATTGAATTCCTCTTTTCTTCTGAGTAAATATGCATAAAATGGAACAACCCAGTTACATCCTAAATTTCCTAGGTCAATTCAGTGAGTATTATGACCAGATAAATGGTTAAAATTATGTTGTACATGCATTGAATAAAAATATTGCAGTTCTAAAATTACATCCAACAAGTCTTTCCTTCCTCTTAAAATGGGTCTCTCAGAGTTACTGATCAAGTCTGAGCACTGTGGAATTATAAAAGAGAACATAGTGCCCTGAAATTATGGTGTGCCCTATGAAAAAGCATCTGCCAGCAATATAACCACAAGTAGGACTTGATGAATGGTGTTATGCATCTGCCCCCTGCTCTCATGAATGAGACATTTCAGGGGTGCCCACACCTATGAAAGATTCTGTTGCTTTGGAGATACATCACTGGCGAGAGAGCAAGCCGAGATATCAAATTGTTAACAATCCAACAAATGGTGGGTTCCCTTCAGATTTCTAAGAAAACTCACAGTTCACTCTTGCTTTGCTCATTTTTAGTACAAACACACTTTTCTTTTCATACACACATCTCAGTCCTTTCCTCACCTTAGCCCACTCTGCCCCACTAAAGATGAGTCATCATTCACATCACTTGACACCAGAACAATACTTTTTTTTCTTTTTGCTTTCCAGGATAATAAATTTGCACATATTTAAAGGGGAGAAGTAGCCTTTCATTCACTAATCTTCATTGGCTGGGCCAAGCTTTAGCTAATACATCTATTGAATCCATCTATTGAATTTATATTATTATGGTTGGTCACACAGTCAGCCACATGTTTAGACTGGATTTGGCATTTTTATCTACCTATCGAGTCCTTCCCAAAGACCTGGGATAGGTAGATATTGTTGTCTGATGGGGCGAAAGGTGTCATCGCAGGATGTAAGCTGTTCCAAGTAATTTTGCAATTGACTGATGGTGATTTTGTCACTGCTGATGGTCTTCAAGTGGTGCTCCAGATGTTTTGGGATTGCATCCAAGACACCTATTACTATTGGTACTATCTTTGCTTTCTTTTGCACAATCATTCTACTTCTATTTGTCATTTTTAAAATTATTATTATTATTACTATTATTATTAATTGATTTCTATCCCACCTTTTTTCATATTTTGGTCAATTCAAGATGGCGAACATACCCAATACTCCTGCCTCCTATTTTCTCCACAACAACAACAACCCTGTGAGGTGGGTTGGGCAGAGAGAGAGTGACTGGACCAAAGTTCCCCAGCTGGCTTTCACAGCTAAGGGAGGCCTAGAACTCAGTCTCCTAGTTTTTAGGCCAGCACCTTCACTGCTACACCAAACTGGCTCTCAGCCACCCATCTCAGTTTTGTGACTCTGGGTTGTTCACAATACAAGCATAAAAGTGAGAATTAATGAAACAACATTACACAAAGTCAGGGTCCCTAAAACTATGATTTAGCCTTTTGATTTATATCTCCCCTTTTTATATCCATTCTTAGAGCACTCCATGTGACAGACATAATATGCTCCAAATGGGCTCATTAGTCCCCAAAAGCTGGAGATCCTGAAATAGCATTACAGTAATGAGATTGGGAGTGGGGCTCTATGGCATGCAAAGGGCTTGGCTGGATATGTGGTGAGGCAGGGCTGAAAACATTTGGACCTTTTTTGCATTGAGAGAGGGGAATCAGGAGGATTTAATGTAATTTTTTTTTTAATGCACTGGGAAATTGGAGGGATTTTCAGGCTGCAGAAATGTAGCTTGGGCCTCATCTGTGGTTGCCCAGGCCTGACCAAAACTAACAACTACTTCTACACTGGGTAACAGCAAAGGGTTTCTTTGGATCCCCTGCAGTTCTATAGGCTGTACTTTGTGTAGCCTGAAATGGTTATTCTGCCCCCACCAGGTTATTCTGAAGATAAAAATAGCATCTCCAAGTTTAGCTGACTTCATACTGACATCATGTTAGGGTTAGGGTTAGGGTTATCTTGACCACAGTATGGAAGTGGTTTGTTGTTCCCCATTCTCATTTTTTAATTTCCCAGTCCAGCCTGTAGTCCCGGGATTGCTTAATTGTCGCTCATCCAGGTATTAATCAGGTGTGACCCTGCTTAGTTTGTTTAGAGCTTTTTCAAGGCCTGAAGAAACACAAACAAGAAAGGCACAAGAAATAAAGCAGATACTGTAATTACAGGCAGAGCCTTCAACTTCACACATTTATTGCCACCTTCTGGCAACCAGAGATGGATGAAGACTGGTCAGATCCAGCATACAGTATATTTTGTGCTAAT